ATGGAAGGAGAGTAAGCAATCTAATAAAAAAGAAAAAAAAAGAGTGATTGAGGCCAGTGAGATGATGCAGCAGATGAAGGTACTTGCTACAGAGCCTGAAAATGTGAGTTTGAGCTCAGGGTCTCACAGGGTAGAAGGAGAAAACTGACTCCCCAAAGTAGACCTCTGAGCTCTACTGTATGTGATGGCGCAAGTACACATGTACGCATATGCATACACACAATAAGCAATGAATTAATATGTAAAATGTATAAGTCAAGGTAATTATTTTAAAAAGAGGTGTCTTCCTTTTAGGGTTTTATATAGAAAACACACTATGTAAAAAAGAAAAAAAAGAAAGAAAATAGGCTCTGTTTCAGTTCCTAGAAAACTATATGTCTACCAGGGGATAACAGTCTAAGCAGGGATAAGGTAGAAAGTGGGGGAGAGAAGGGAGGAAGTGAGGTAACCCAAACTAAAAATATATGAAAAGCCTTATAGAAGCCTACTAATTTGTAAGCAATTTAAACAAAAGTTAGGGCTGGAGAGATTGCTCAGTGATTAAGAACACTCACTGCTCTTGCAAAGGACCTGGGTTTGGTGTCAGTATCCATGTACAGTTCACAACCACCTGTAATTCTCATTCCAGGGGATCTGATACTATCTTCTATCTTCAAAGGCATAAAGCTTCAGGCTTATTCCCCAGTGCGCGCGCACACACTCACACACACGCACATGGGCACACGGGCACACACACACACACACACACACACACACACACACACACACACACGCATGCACGCATGAGTGTACTCTCTTATTGAATTTGAGGCTGATCCATAAGAGGGAATTCATGACTGTTTACTGTACACTTGCCCAAAAGCATATAACTGGGACACTAATAGGTTGGGGGACACATGCTGTGTGTTTTTTTTATTTTTTATTTTTCTGAGCGGTCCTGTTGTCAAACCTCCTTCTAAACATTTATGTTTATACCCATAGATCAGTGCTGCCCTCATCCTTGCTCAGGAAGTTTCTTTCTGCAGTGGGCAGCAGTTAATACAGAGATCCATAACTGGTCAACGTGCTAGACTGTGAGTGCTCAGCCCTAAGTGGCGCGTCTATCGCAACCTTTAACAATGGCTCAGGGACCATCAAAGAAGAAGAGGTGCAAGAATGTAAAAGCTGGAGTATGGCAGGGAATGCTGTGAAAGATGTGTTCTGGATACAACATAGCCATTGGTCTCACAAGTCCAAAACATCTACTGTTACGTAGACAAGACCTGCACAAGATCAAGCCAGTCAACAATATTCCAGCATAGATGGGAAGGGTTGATGAGGGCCCTCCCTTAGCTGAGGAGATACTGGCAGATGGTAGCTGCTAGAAAAGAGTGGGCCAATTTTCTTTACGGGTTCAGCTGCTGATAAGTTGTCCATGCCCCAGTGGATGTATGCATGTAGGTGGTACCAATCAGACTCAGTGTGATATAAAGAGAAAAAAAAAAGACGGGAGGAGGACATGGGGAGGGATGTGTGGGAGTGGGAGGAGTAAGTGAAGGATGGACATGCTGAAGATATACATTATATACATAGATAGATAGATAGATAAATAGATAGATAGATAGATAGATAGATAGATAGATAGATAGATAGATAGATAAAATTTTCAAGGAATAATTTTTAAAAAAAAAATTTGAGTTTTTTGAGACAGAGTTTCTCTGTGTAGCCCTGGATGTCCTGGAACTCATTCACTATGTAAACCAGGCTGTCCTCAAACTTACAGAGATCTACCAGACTCTGCCTCTTGAGCCCTGGGATTAAAGGCATGTGCCACTACCTCCCAGGCTAAAAATATTTTTAAAGAAGCTATATATGTTCATTCTCTATAAGGGCAAGAATATGACTTTAAGGAAGAAGTAAAATTTGTTTTAGATAAATTTATGCTGGTTTGAATGCGAATGGTCCTATAGGTCCATCTGCTTGAATGCTTGTTCCCCAGCTCATAAATTGTTTGGGAAACATTAAGAGTTGTGACCTTTTTAGAAGAGGTGTATCTATAGGTGTGGGCTTTGAGGTTTCAAAAGCCCATGCCAAGCCTCATGGTTCTCTGCTTCATGCGTGTGGATAAGATACAAGCATTCAGCTGCTGCTCCAGCTCCATGCCTGCCTGCCTGCTATCTTGATACCCTCTATACTGGTCATGGACACACCCCTTGAAGCTCTAAGCAAGTCTCCAATTAAGTGCTTTTTAAAATAAGAATTGTCTTGATTTTGGTATCTCTTTGCAGCAATAGACAATGACAAGGGAGAAATAGAAATTTTTAGATACAGTCCATCTAAACAGCAAGAGAATCCTTGAGGATAATTAGTATATACTTTTCTGAAAATGCAGAACAGAGGCCGAATGTGATGATGCCCACCTGTAATCCAAGCCACCTTGTCTACAAAGAGAGCTTGAGGTCAGCCAAGGACACAACATCAAACCCAGGAGGCTGGAGAAATGGTTCAGCAGTTAACAACTTGTACTCTTCCAAAGAATCCAAATTTGATTCCCAGCAACCCCATCAGGCAGCTAGCAAATGACTGCAAATTCAGCTCCAGGGAATGTCCTACCTTCCTGTGGCCTCTACAGGCACCTATACTCATACACTCACAGCCCCACTCATACACACACATACACATGTGCCTGTGCTTAAAAACAGAATAAATCTTAAAAAAAATAGAATAAAGGCCTGGAGAGATGGCTCAGAGGTTAAGAGCACTGGCTGCTCTTCCAGAGGTCTTGAGTTCAATTTTCAGCAACCACATGGTGGATCACAACCATCTACAATGAGATCTGGTGCCCTCTTCTGGCATGTAGGTGGACATGAAGACAGAACATTGTATAAATAATAAATAAATCTTAACAAAAATAAAGGGCCTGGAATAAAATAATAAAATCAGTGAGTTAAGCACTTGTCACATAAACATGAGGGTCAAGAGAACCCATGTAAAACTGGAGAAAGTAGCACACAACTGTAATCCAAGCAGTCTTACAATTGGATGGGAGGCTGAGACAAGAGAATTCACTTCCTGGCCAGCTAGTCTGGCATATGCATAGAACAAAAAGACACAAACAAACAAAACCTTTCAAACAAGGTTGAAGGCAATGACTTTCAACCAAGAGGTTGTCCTCTGATCTCCACATGTACCATGACACATACGCTGAAGTATGTGTACCTACACTTGTATACATAAACACATACAACACGAAGATTTTTGAAAGGAAGGTTAAGAGGCCCTTTCTGTGAGTGTACTACCAGCTTTTCCTTCCCTACACCAGCCTTTATCACAGCCTCACCCGAGAGTCTCGTTCAGCCCTCACATGCTCCCCCGTACTACAGCTTCTTCTGGCTCTCCTTCTTCCTCTCTGCTTGAACCTTCTTGGTCTCTTTTTACAATCCTCTCCTCCGTTTGCTGGCCTCACTGACACCCTGAGGTTTCTGTGTTTAGCACAGCTTCCTGCGGTGGCTGCTAGGTAATCTTACATGTGTACACGGTTGGAACAGATCACTTATCTATGTTTCTAGCCTAGAACGTCGCTGGACTTGTGACTCTGTATGGTCAACTGCCTGCTGCTGATATTTATGAAACATCTAGACATTCTACACATAGCTCAAATGGGAATGCCTTGATTCTGGTATTTTAAAGTCTGGCTCTCTTATATATTTCATAGGAGGCCATCATAACTGAGCTATTCTCCAAAACCAGAAATTTGGACCCTATTATGGATACTTCTGCCTTCTCAGCCCCATATCAAATCTTTGTTAGGTTTTGTCAGTTTTACTTACCCAATATGGAATCCATCCCCTCTTCCTTATCTCAGCTCCTATGCTATTTCTTGCCTCGATTTCATTGGTCTAATGTTTCCTGATTGGTTTTACTTTTACAGTGTATCTCCACAGTAGCCCAAAGGATTGTTCTCGATGGCCAGTAAGACTACATTCTGTTTCTTGAACTTTTGAATGGCTCCATATTTGCACTAAACCTCTCTGGGATCTGACCTCCATTTACCTCCTTTATTTTCTCCCTAGCTCACTTCAACTATTAGTCCAGGGGAAGTTCTAAGTTTAATGGGGCCGGATGCTTATAGAAGTCAAAGGAGAACCCAAGAAAAAGACTACATTATCACTAATAGTTATGGGGCTGTGGAAGGGGCTCCTGCACGTGAGACCCTCCAAAATTAAGGTTCATTGGCTTCCCAAGAAGCTTACCTCTCTACTGAAACACACCAAGCTGCACTTCCCTAGACCATACCAATTCTTTGCATCACTTTGCCCTTGAAAAATAGGGCTGCTTTCTGGATTGCCTTTCTCTCTAATCACCTGTCTATGTTGTCAACCCATCAAGAGTTAGCTTAGATAAGGCTCTTCTATGAAGGCCTGTCTGCCTTCTTTGTATGGAATTGACTGTTCTTGCCCTTGTGGTCTCATTGCAATCTGCCCTTTACCTCTTTGCATTATCCTTCACACAACATACTCCCCTCTATGGAAATTATTTGCTTAAGACAGGCCTTTATCATGAATGCCTCAAGAGCAGAGATTAAGCCAAAGATTTTTAGGTTGCTAAGAGTACAGGAGGGCCTGGCATAAGGCTGAACAGAATCAAGGCTCCAGTCATGTGTATTAGAAAGATACCTGTCAGCTGGTTGCAGTGGTACACACTTGTAATCCCAGTACTCAAGAAGGTAGGAGCAGGCAGAACTCTGTGAGTTCAAGGCCAACCTGGTCTATGAAGTGAGTCTAGGACAGCCAAGGCTACATAGAGAAACCCTGTTTCAAAAAAAGACACTCTTCTTTGGCAAAGTAGATAGAGTGGCACAGTTGTTGTAGATAGGGACCCTGCAATGATGCCATGCTTACCAGCTGCCTACCCATATCGCTCTAGTTAAATAGGATGGGCTCCAGAGTCTGTGTTCTCTCCAAGATTCCCATGGTAAGCTCCTTTCCATGGTTTACCCCTCAACCCACTGCCTTCCTTACCTGTCCTCCTTGTTGATCTGGTCCCCAAAGCCCATGGTGCTCACAATTGTGAGCTTCAGCCCCACATTGCTCTCCTGGAGGTCATAGGTGTTGGATCGGAGTTGAACCCCTGGCTGTGTGTGGGTGGCTGGCTCCCCCTCAAAGTTGGTGTTGAACAGGGTATCCATGAGGGTGGACTTGCCCAAACCTGTCTCCCCTGAAAAGCAAAAGATAGCACACAGTGACTTCGTAGCCATTATGCATCATATTTCACAAACGTGTGAAGGGAGAAGTGTATATACTAAAACACTGAATGAGAAGTCCTGCAGAAGTACATAGAATATATATGACCAATTATATGAAAAGGGAAAGCACGCACCTGCCAGCAGCAGAGAGCTCATAATATTAGAGAATTGGGCTAACTTCCAGTTTAGCCTTCATATTTTTTTTTCCTGTTCTTTGAACCTTTACCTTGAACATATACTGCTTTTAGAGGCAGAGAAAGAAATGTTATACGTACAGATAGAGAGGTATAACTATTTAAATACCAATTGCCAAATAAACACCCTCTCCTCTCATCACCTACCTCAGGTTCTGCCAGGCCTAAATAATGCTCAATCCACAGATGTCACAGCCATCTCCCACTGGAGAGACTGTATCTACCCTTGGCTTCTCCCAGCCTAGATGACCTTTTAGTGAAACCATTTTTTTTGTCTGCTGGGGAATGAACTTAAGCCAGAAATTATTCTTGTTAAAATTCAAACAAACAGACATTTGTTTGTTTAACTAACATGCTGGCTGTGTGACAATAATAAATCCAAACACTAGAATTTCACACTTGGGGGATAAATAGGGGAAGGATGATAGTGAACTGGTCAAGGTTTGGGGAGGTTATTCCTGGGAGACTAGAGGTTACCAAACCATTGCCTAGAACCAAGGGGTCTTTGGAGAATGAGACATCATAGTCACACACTGGAGAGAAGCAAGAGACATGGAGTTAGGCAGGAATCTGATATGAAGCCACAGCTGGGCTCAGCACTAAAGCCACTTTTAATTTCTGTGGATTCAGGTTGTATCTGGCTCCTCATCCTACCCCAAAGGAATCAGAAATCCTAGGCATAAAAAGGCAGTCTAACCTGGAGACATAGCGTCAGACCAGCATGGTCTTTAAGTCAGTAGTTAATGACAGTCTGGGAATGGGGGTTGGTACATGCCCTTTATCCCTTGCACTTAGGAGGCAGAGGCAGGCAGATTTCTGTGAGTTCGAGGCCAGCCTCTGTCTACAAAGCGAGTCCAGGACAGTCAGGGCTACACAGTGAAACCCCATCTCAGACAAACAAAATTAATGACCCTGAACTATTCTTTGTGTACCTTAGACCACACTATTGTTTTAGTAGCATTGTCCCTCTTCTTCCTACCCCTTCCCAACCAAGGAAAGACCTATGACTTTTCCTCAGAGTTAGATTTACTCTGAGTAATTCTTGGCCTGGCAAATCTGCCCTTGAGACCAACAGTACACAAGGCAGTGCAAAAAAACCTGTAAAATGGAGAACTAAAAATTCTTCTTCTCTCCCCACCTTCTCACTGTGTATAGCTTTGCACAAGCTTCTTTTATCCTAAACAATGACCTATAAAAATTTACCTATGATGAGTTTTTCTATGAACAGATGAAAAACAAAACAAAACATCCAATTTAGTATGGTTACCAAGGTCCCCAACCCTATTTCACAGCTAGGTGTGACCAGTGAGGTGAACTGCAGGGTTTACAGAAATCCTAACACAGACTGTATTTTCAGTCGGGGCATGCTATATCCATCAAGGACAAAGACTGTCTAAGAAGAGGCCCCTTTGTCCTCCCCTAAAGAAAGTATTCAGGTCTCAGGAAAAATCTGGTGCAATGGGGTCTTTGGCACGGGAGGTGACAGATTCAGGCATGCAGTAGAACATACCACCCATTTCCCTCCCGAAAGAAAGACATCTTGAGACTCACGAGGGCCAGAATCTCTGAGGTGAGAATGCAAGGGTGGGTACAGTACTCTAACTTGACTTCTCTCTGGACAGCCATGTTTCAGATAACTTTTTTTTTCCTTTTCCACCCCCTGACCCTGAGACAGGGTTTCTCTGTGTAGCCTTGGCTGTCCTGGACTCACTTGGTAGACCAGGCTGGCCTGGAACTCAGAGCAATCCACCTGCCTCTGCCTCCCTGAGTGCTGGGATTACAGGCTTGTGCCACCATGCTCATTATCTCAGGTACCTTTTAACCATTGTTTTTTTTTTTTGTTTGTTTGTTTGGTTTTTTTTTTTTTTTTTTTTGGTACATATAATGGATTTTCTTCAACCTCCTCCCTCTTTGTCCCTTGGGCTTATTACTGAATATGCCTGTTGCTAGCCTTCTAGACAGTGGAAGGCTCCAATCTCCCCAGCTCTCCAGAAAGGGCTCACTGCCTCCACATCCTAAGAATTCTCAGAGTCCTCTATCTACTTGAGTGTGCCTGAAGAAAGCCTCACATAGACAGTCTCAGGAGCAGCTCTACAAAACCAGAGACCCACCCACTTTGCACAGCTGTAGAAATGGGGGCTGGGTGGAGTAGGGCAAGCAGCAGGGAAGGACATCAAGGAAACAGACCACCCAGATACCTGCCAGCACAGAAGGCTTGTGGCAACTAGATGTTAAATAATGAAGGTCTGGAAGAGAAGAACTTGCCACGTCTAGGGAATTGCAATAAACACAGCATTAGAAGGCAGCAGAAAATAAAGCCAGTTCCTCCAGGGGCTTTCGAGTGCTTCTGCTCTCAGTTGCCATCACGATGGGACCTGGAGCTGAAAGGACTCCCTCTTTCAATGGCTAGCACAGACTCAGCCAGAGACTAGAATGTTGTCTCCTCCTAGAGCTGCCTTGGGACCAATAGTGAATGTGTGTGGGGATATGACACATATCCTGACTAGGATCAGGTCAGCAGATTCCATCATGCCTCAGCAAGAAGGTAGGAACTTGGCAGGTGGCTTCTAGCAGGAAACTCAATGAGTCCCAAGGGTTCAATTTCTCCTTTTCAATTTCTCTTGTTCTCCTCAGCCCTTCCAGAACATGTCACAATGGACAACAGAGGTTTCTAACCCTCTGAACTGATGTTCTACCTTTCACTTTGCTTCCTGTTGACATTATACTGAAAACAAAAATTTTTAAAAATAACAGAGAGGATGGAGATGGCTCAGTGGCTACAATCGCTAGCTGACTTGGGTTTAGTTTCCAGCATTAACATGGCAGCTCACAGCTGACTGTAACTCCAGTTCCAAGGGAACTGAAACTGTCTTCTGGCCTCTGCAGGCACCAGTTATGCATACAGTACATATATGTACATATAGGCAAACATTCATACACATAAAATAAATCTCTTTTAAAAATAATTTAAATTTAAAACTTATTATATAAAACATGCATTTTGTCTTCAAACTATAGTTTTGGGTGACTTTCCCACCTTGAGTTAAAAACAACTATAATCAAAATTTAGCCATTTTCATTAGTTGATGTCAATATCTGCAGTCTCTGCTTCCTTGGACAATTAAGTCCTTGCAAGATAAGAAAGACAAATTTATCTTTGAGTTTGAGATCAGCCTGGTCTACAAAGCAAGTTCCAGGACAGTCAGTGCTACAGAGAAACCCTGTCTCAAACAAACAAACAAACAAACAAACAAAAGCAGAAAGAGAGAGAGATAGAGAGAAAGACAGACAGACAAGTCCTAGATATGTTACCACTACATTGTCATATGACAAAATCTGAGCCCTGTTTCCAGTCTGGGTCCTAGTCCATTTTTCCTACAAAAAGGGAAGAAGGTTGACGTCGAAACAGCAAAGATTTTGGGGTTTGGTTTTGGTTTGATTTTAAGACAAGGACTTGAACTCCTAAGTCTCCTGCCTCAGCCTCCCAAGTGTAACAGATTCATGTGCTCTGTGTCAGGCCTTGATGTGAATAAATACATACTTTCTTCTCTTTTCTGTAGTGTTGGAGATGAAACCCAGGAACTCACACAAGGGAGGCAAGCTCTCAACTCCTGAGCCACACCCTCAGCTTCCATGGATTTTATTTGTTCCTCACAGCAAGCTGATAAAGTAGACACTATGCCTTTTTATTTTTAGTGCTGGTAATGGAGCCTGAGGACTCAAGTTGAGCAGGTTAAGCAGGAGCTTTACCTCTGGCTGGGCAAGGTGGCAGGTATTAGGGTTGCAGGCAGATGTTTGTGAGTTCCAGGTCAGCCCTAGAGTGAGACCCTGCCTCTAAAAAAAAAAAAAAGAAGAAGAAGAAGAAGCAACAAAAAAGAGCTCTACCACTGAACTACAAAGTAGCCAATCCCTTGCTACTATAGTATACAGTATATAGAAGAGGAAAATAAGGTATAAAGAGGAGGAGGAACTTGCAAATTCATGAAGCTAGTGGGTGACTTGGTTAACCTAACTACAAATTAAGGGCAAATTGTAGTATTAAGGGTGTGAATAAGAAGTAACAGTCCAAGGAGGGCCACCCACTAATAAGTAGCATAGCCAGTATTTTCTTTTTCTTTCTTTGTTGTTGTTTGTTTGTGGGTTTTTGTTTTGTTTTGATTTTTCACGATAGGGTCTCTCTGTATAGTTTTGGCTGTCCTGGACTTGCTTTGTAGACCAGGCTGGCCTCAAACTCACAGAGATCCACCTGCCTCTGCCTTCTCAAGTGCTAGAATTACCAGCATGCTTGGTTTGTAGCCAGTATTTTCACCAAGAAAGGCTACCTCTGTAGCCCATGCTTAAAACCAATACAATCCAGTGAGGCCCACAAACATGATGTATTTGTTCATTTAATCACTCAAGTATTTACAAAACCTCTGATAATTGCCAGATATAGTTATAGGGGTTGAAGACAAAGCAAGGGCAAGATAGCCACAGTCCCTATTCACTTGGAGAGAAGTATCACTCTGCTGTAAATGGTGGAGCAAGCCAAAAGAAATGGCTGTTGAGTTCAACAGGGAGGTGTCCAAAAGGAAACTCTCGAGGAACTACAGCTAGCCATGGGAGTCCACAGAGAAAGACAAGGTCATGCCTGATTGTACAGTCTTATCCTTTCTGTTTCCTGTTCTTACAGGGGCCTGGCAGACTGGTGTGTTTCAGCCAGCCAGGCAGCTTCCCGCATCTCTTCCCAAGCCAGTGTGCACTAACACTGACAACAGATTCAGATCAGCTGTGGTGGAAGTCATGACACCATAGAAATCAGTGGCTGCCCAAATCGTGGCCCATTTTCTCCTGTCGTGCCTTGCTAGCCAGTGACCAACCACTGTGGCCACTTTATGCTGACAACTGCCTCTCCCAGAGGCAGAGGGATGTAAACATTAGCTTCTGACCTTCAGAGGATACTAGATACCATTTGCATGCCTCCTACAGTAAAGCCTCAATCCTGCTTGTTGAGTGTGTTTTCCAAATTCAACAGAGCCCAGTTGAGCCTGGAATCCTGAGCAGCTTCAAAGTAAATATTATCATTATGAGCCTTTATGCTTCTCATGACCATTAGCGCTGCCAGCATATTTGGATGGGCAAGTCTCTTTGGGGTTCTTTCCCACAAGTACTGAGCCCTAGAACATTGGTATTGCTGGCTCAGGCTGTTCTTTTGAGACCTCCTACATGGCTATTTACAGTCATTGGATCCTCAAATTTTCAAAGCTAAGGGATTAGGGATATGATTTTTGATGGGGTAGGGAAAGGGGAAATCACCTTGCTAGGTAACTACTGTCAACCCTGAGAATATATCAGACTGAAATCATAATGTGCTTATGTCCATGTGCTTAGCTGAAAACATAATAATCACAGAGAGCAATTATTGGTATAGTTAATTTAATGTAGTATAAATTAGTTTCTGGATTCATGAAAAAAATCTCTTTCCCTTCTCTCTCAATCTCAACAAACACACGTGTACACAGGCATACATAAATGTTCAGTTCTTACTCTGCTGGGTATAGGCATAAGATCAGCAGGCCAACATGAAAATAAACAATAATGTGAACAAAAAATTTATCCTAGCTCTTCAATAATAATAATCAAGTCTAGCACTGCTATAATTCAACACTAAAAGTCATCAAGGAGGTAAATTTGATAGCCCCATACAGGTATGAGACATAAGAACACAGCACTAAAATTCCTGCAGGAGCAAAGATCACCTTCAGTAACATCACTGCGGACTCTGCCATGTCATTGACAGTTCCTAGCATTATGGCTGGGCTGAGATGGCAGTCCTAGAGCCACTTGTGACCTTGCTGCAAGGCGAGGGTTCTCTGAACAATGGCAAGGTCATGAATTCAGCAAGAGAGTGGGATAATGCACTGCAAGCATTTTTGGATCCAGTACAGGGATTGGTTTATCTAATGGTCCTGTCTATGGATATTATAGGAGGAGAGCCATTTCCTGAAACTTGACAAGTAGAAAGAGAAAGAAAAGATATATGACTTCTTATGGATGAAAATGTCTTCTTTTCTTCCCTCCTGTCCCTTCTGAGACACGAGTCCCTTTCTGCCCCAGGCCTTTCAGCAACTTCATGTCATCAGGTACATGCTGGAGTACAGGAGATGAGCAATAATACCCTGGTAGGAACATGAGTTGACTATCCCACTCACCTTGTCTTGATCTTAGTTGCCTCTTTCTGGGGGGGCTGGGGAATCTTAAGATTCATGTGACAAATTTCCCTGCACTTTGCCATCGGGTGTCATTCTGACTCACAGGGCTTTACCAGTCCAGTCTCTTGCTCTAGATTGAAAGGTTGCTGACAGTGGCTTTGTCATTTTGCTTTAATCTCAACTTCAGCCCAGGTCATATGGCACTCTGGGAAGAATGCCAAGGGAATCTGGTATGTGTGTGCACTGGAATATTTCAGTCATCAAATATTGTGTGAAATAAGTTGGCCATTAGCCAAAGATTGATCTTATTAGTTAAACAGAAATTTGGTAGTGCCAATATTAGATGTGATGACATTTGTTCTTGAGATTGATTACCCTGTCTTGCATTTATTTTGTATTCCCATTCTAATTAGCACCTACACATGACTGTGCATTAGAGTTATAGCATTCAAAGACTTGGCAACCTCTATGCAGACTCTACGGCCTCTTCTGTGTAATCCCATGAAACACATATTTTTGTCTCATAGGCTCTGAAGCTGATACAGGAGAATGAGTCACTTTTGTTAGTGAGTGAGTCTAGCTGACTGCCTGTCATCCATATTTAGAAATAACCTTATTACTCTGTTTGTCCTTACAAGTACAGTGAATTCCGTATAGAAAATGACCTGGTAAAAAGTCCTAAAGATGGAGAAGAAAAACAAATCCCAAGAAAATGAATGACTTCAAAATAATTTGAAGACAGTTAGTTAGTTAGTTAGTTAGTTAGTTAGTTAGTTAGTTAGTTAGTTAGTTATTGAGACACGGTCTCATCATGCAGCCCAGGTTAGACTCAAATTCACAAACTTCTTGTCTGCTAAGTGCTGGAATTACAGAGCTATACCACCACATCCAATAGAATTTTTTCCAATACATCAAAGAGTAAAGTGCCTAATTCAGTGGTAGTTTGAATCTATGCTGTGAATGAGCTCTCCATATGCTCTATACAAAAATAAGAAAAGGAAATCAGAAGTGTTTGTGTTCCAGCCAGTGTGAAAATTGGCATTATTATGGTATTTATACAACCATTAAGGTCTGGAAGGGGGGCCCCTGAAAATATGCAGGTATACTTTCTTGCACCATGGTATTGAAATTATATGTTACCACTGTGTTTGTGAATGTCGGGCTTTTAAGGTTTCAAAACACATTCTTAAAGAATGGCAAGGTACCATTGTCCCTCACACTTGTTTGATGGTACTCAATTGTTTCTAAAGCACTTTCATGGTCTCAACGGATGTTGCTGGCAGTATAGGCAGTGAAAAGAATAGGAGGCCAGTCAGGCCTGCATTGCTGTTTTTGTTGTTGGCTCTGTCATTATTTTTTTTTTTTTAGGTTGTCTCAGGTAGATCCCTTGTCCTCCTCAATTCTCCTCTCCATGAGGATAAAAACACTACTGCCAAGGCTCATTTTGCAGACTGGGGGCCCAAACAACTAATGTGAGAAACTGTTGAGAAGTATAATAAATGGCCCTATGGACTTAACTCATTCATCATTCACGTTAGAAATATCATCAAACTCTCCTTGTGCCATGATTAGCATAGCAAGTGGACTAAAACAATGCCTCCCCACAGAGGTGTGATGGTGCATGACCATAATCCCAGTACTTGAGAGGCTAAGATACAGATACCGAGATTTAGAGGCTAGCCTGGGAGACGTTTCAATTTCCATGTCATCCTAGGCCACATAATGAGACTCTCTCTTAAAACAAAACAAAATACAGCCCAGGCAGAGATACAGATCTGGTAATAAAAGATCTTTGCACATAGCTGTTGGGGTTCTTATGCTTAAGCACCAAATGTACCAAACCTAGACAGCTGCAGAGACCCAGCCGACTGCCCACAACTGGAAGGCAGGCATCTTTATTTCCTCAGCCATTATCTCGCTCCCACTTCTGTCCTGGTTCTCATTTTTGGAAGTCAAAAAGAACCTGACAGCAGTAACCCAGTAGGCCACCCCCCTTTAACAAAATTTTCCACTGAGTCTCACAAAGCTCTGTTTTTCCCCAAGGTGTGGGCCCAGATTCTGGTCTGAACAGAGGAAAAAATATAATTGCAGCTGGACACTTACAAAAATAAACAAAGGGATAAGAGCAGAAGAGGGCTGGGGGGTAGCAAGCCTGCAACTAGATGAGAATGACACAGTATTTAACCTAATTACCTGCAAAGCCACATCTAGCCATTAAGGATCTATATTCTGTAATAGAATTTCCTGCCATGGAAATACTCACCCACACACAGGATGTTGAAGCAGAAGCCCTGGCTGACTGCCTTATTCACCAGCTGGTCAGGCAAGCTGTCAAACCCCACATGTCCAGCCAGGGGGACAGTTCGGCAACCTTCGCCCTAATTTGGAGAAGGAGGGAGAGGAGAAAAATGACAATGTGCTTAAAAGCCATTTGGATCTCCATACTCCGTCTCTATGCATTCTATCATGTGCCAGGAAGTAACGACCACAAAGGCTCAATGTGTCATTTCTTCCCCCAGTCACCCCACAACACAGACACTTCAAAGAATTCCATCAGCATGGAATTCATGAGTGCTTAGACACAGGTAGTCAATAGGTTCAGTCATAAATACCACTGTGGTTCTAGACACAACAAAATACATGGGCAGCTTATCCAGTTCATCCAAACTTGGGATGAAATCTCAGTTAAATCACTGACAGGCCAGGGAACCTCTCTGACACTCACTTCCCTTCTACATCTGTCACATGAGACAATATGATGTACTTTAGAGGTGACCAGAGGATTCCTGTCTGTTTATTAGTACCTATAATGATCTTAATGTGTGCACGCCCGTGCAACAAATGTTCCAAAGCCCTTATAAGGCAGTGAACCTTCTCTCTAGGACACTCCAGAAACCTAGAACAAAGTTGGCACAGCAAAGAAGCTAAGCTCACATATTTAAGCATGCAAGATGGCTCAGTGGGTAAAGGTACCTGCTGTCAAGCCTGATGACTTTAGTTCAAAATCTGGGACTCATGTGGTAGAGGAGAGAATTAATTCCCAAAAGTTGTCCTCTGACCTCCACAATTATATGGCACTCCTCCACAATTATGTGGCACTCCCCCACAATTATGTGGCACTCCCCCACATATACACACAAAACAAACAAATAAGGGAATAAGTAAGTAAATACACACACAAATAAATAAATGTAAAAATAAATTTAAAGAACAGACTTTTAAATCAGGCAGGTCTGAGTCAGAGGCAACCTCTGCAGTTCGCAGTAACAAGTTAAGTTCTCAGTCTCCCCATTACAAAGCCAGGAGTTAGTAGCTAATGTGCAGATTACATAGGACAAGACTCTCACACATAGCAAACAGCCTGGCATGTGGGAGGCATTCAAATAGCGGTTGCCCTTATCACCATACTGTGAGGTTATCTTTGGACCCCAAACTCGCCCATCATGTAGTAAAACACTTATAGCTCCCTCTACCTTAGAGGGAGCTGTCTCCGGGTTTCCTCAGGTTCCTTTGACTCCACAGGGTTCAGCCAAGCCACTCCCAGCCTTGGGAAGCACAGGGTCAAAGCTTCTTACAGTTAATGGTGTTTTACAGAACAAGGAGAGTCTCAACTCAGGCAGACTTCCAAAGAACCATGGGAAAGGATGAAAAGGGCCTGCGTGTGCTCATGAAATATGTTTACTGTCAGTGGTCACAGCAGAGGGTGGGGTGTCAGGAGAAGGGTGGGGAATGGAAGCTGGAAGCAAATAAGTGTCCCAAGAAATGATAGGTTATGGAAACAGGCAGAGATTCTGTGGGGTGAGGCTGCACCACACTTTCCATAACCACCAAGATGCCAAAAGCAACCCCAAAGGCCATGGCTTGTGCCAGGAGGACCATACCAGCATCCCAGGTTGTGCTAGCAGGCAACTCCTGTGTTGACTAGACCTGCTGCTAGACTAGGCGGCACACCAAAAGGGATGAGATATGATAGTGGAGGAGCTGCTCAGCAAATGATGTAGTCAGACAACCCCTTAACCTAGTGTGTGTGGGTCCCTGCTCCCATCCATGTCATCGGATTTGTGCTGGTGACTACCATCTGGCACGTTCATTCCTCGCTCACATCTCTCTGAGGAAACTCCCAAAAGAGTGCAATTGACAGACTGCCATCCTTGAGTCAGGTTGATGCATTCCTTGCTCACCTAAAGAAATTGCATGAGGTATCCGCATCACATTGTTGTGTACTCGCTTCAGCCCTTTCCAGTTTCCTTTCCCCATTTCCCATTCTTTTTCTTGCTTAAAGCAAACAGTAAGCTGGAAATTTACCACCTTTGATTCTCAGCCCTCAGCAAAGCAGAGAAGAGACTTCTGAGCCAATATGCTCTCTCCGGGGAGCCTCCTACATAGCAGGCCTCAAAATTGGGACAGACTCACAGTTGAGGTTTCCAGAGCCATATTTTATCATCTCTTCCTGTCTCCAAATTCAGCACTATGAAACATTAAATGCCCCAAAGTCCATGGATTCTCAAACTAAAGGTAGCAGAGTGGAGAGAGCTCCTTACCTTAACAGTTCACTCCAAGGTGAAAGAATTATCAAACATGGGGCTTAGGATGTAGTTCTGTTGGGAGAATGCTTGCCTAACATGCACAAAGCCCTAGGTTCAATCTGCAGCACCACATAAATGGGGCATGGTGCTGCATAACTCTAATCCTCACACTCTACTGCTAAGCTCTACCGTCAGTCCCAGTTCCCCACTTTTGAGTCACAAGTGACGTTAGGTGACCTTAATGTGTGGATGTCACCTTGCCACTTCAACACCACTGTCCCTACTTCCTTATTCTGGCAATCACTCAAGTACTCTATAGCTAGAATGAGCTTTTCAACGCCTGCATGTGTGGCTGGAGAGATGGCTCAGCATTTAAGAGCACTTGCTGTTCTTGCAGAGGTTCCGTTCCCAACACTCAAAATGGTGGCTCACAAGTATTTCCAACTGCAGTTCCAGGGGATCTGATGACTTCTTCTGACCTCCTAAGGCACCAGGTCTATACATTGTATGTATACATACATGAACGCAAAACACTCATAAAACAAATCTAATTTTTTTTTTAAATATCATGGCACTCCCTGCTCAAAATACCCCAAATCACACAAGCACATTGCTTGTGGAATAAAGCCTATACCCATCCTTTCGCTGTTTGGGGCTCTTTATACTACTGTGGAAGATAATGGTGGGAACATGGTGTTTGGTAAATTTTCATTTTGAGAAAGGGTCTTATGTATCCCATGCTTGTCTCAAACTCAACGTATTGCAAAGAATGCTTTTACACTGTTGATCTTTTTTTGCCTCTACTTCCCAAGCACTCAGATTAAGCCTATGCCATCACATCCAGCAGAAATTTTTAGAAAACATAGAAATTATATTATCATTCTCCCATGATGATCAACATGTCTATGTCTTTCCTGCCGGTCACTACACTTTTATTTAACAAAATACGGATGCTATTATCTGTTCCTTTTCCACAATCTGACTTAATACACTGACACTTAATACAGATGTTTTCCTAAGTAATTAAGCATATGTCTAAATCATGTCTATAGAACAGTGTCTTTTTAAAGATCTGTTTTATTTTCAAAGATGTGCACTTGTCTTTGTCTGTGTAAAAGTATGTGCACATGAGTGCAAGTGCTGTCAGAGACAAGAGAAGACAGTGAATCTGTTGAAGTTAGAGTTCCAAGGAGCTGTAAGCCACCTGCTATGGATAATGGGGATCAAATGCAGATCCCCTGCAAGAGTTGTATGAGCTCTTACCGACTGAGCCATCTTTCTAGGCCACAAAACATTACTTTTACTGGCCATCTAGCATACTCATGTAGGAATCTGTCACCTTTTCCTAAAATATCTTCTATTGTTGGATATTTAGTGTGCGTTTCCAAGTTTTCTACATAAAAATACAACAGTCTTTAGGGTTGCAAATGTCTTTTATTTCCTAAAATTGAAGCCTACTGGACCAAAGGGTCCACATATTTTTACATCTATCTATCTATCTATCTATCTATCTATCTATCTATCTATCTATCTATCTATCTATCTATCTATCTA